AATTAATTAAAATCACAAATTAAAACTCTTTCACAATTAAATTAACGCAAATAAAAAATAAAAATAATTAAAAATTGGTTTAATTTATATTTTCGGCCGATCGTGCATGGTAGAGTTGAGCCCATCTCGAAAGATCGTAGTTTTACTGATAAAATCGTAATCTTACGACTATTCTCGTTTTATAACGCGTAAACTTGTTTTCTTACAAATGAAGCTTTATTTTTAAGAATAGTTGCCTGTTAAATTTGTACCACGAACTGCACTGTTTTTTTACAAAGAAAATTGTAAATTGACAATCTGTTCATCATTTTACAAACTGCTTCTAAAATTTACAGGTGAAATCGTTAATTTACAAGTATGATTGTAAAAGCAAGTCTGAAAAAATGCGTTTTCGTCCGTTGTTTCCTTACTATATAGGAAGAAAAAATGCCTGAAACGACCAAAATTTGAGGATAAAGTTTGTAAGTTTAAGAATATTTTTGTAAATTGACGAAAAAAAGGTGGATGATCAGATCGTTTTTTAAATTTACGAGCAGTTCGTGGTACAAATTTAACAGACAATTAATCGTAATTTCACAAAATAATCCCGAACAGTGCAGTTGTCGTTTCGCGACGCGAGGTGGGCCGGTGGCTCGGAGGGAACCACAAGACCGTGGCGACGGTCGTGCGCCGTACCGGGAGGACGGCCGTCTTCAGCGCCGCCGCTGCCCTAAAGAAGCTTACAACATTTATACAATGGCGCAGACTAGTGCAGACAGGCGGGCTAGCGGCGGGCGCTGCGTACCGCGGATTTCTCATAGGGTGCTGCGATCCGGAGCTTTTGTAAATATAGCGACCGGCTAGGGCGAAGACCGAAGTATGAAAAATTCGTTTGAGCGGGAATATGGGGCGCAAAGGGGCAGCAACAATCACCCCTGGGCAACGTTACTCTGGCAACCCGTCGTCCACTGTTATAGCCCATATGTCCAAATTTTAAATTATTGTCTAAGTTATGGAGCCCCAAGTGCTTCCAGACAAGGAGAAATTCGAGGAGAGGCTGGCAGAACTGATATCGTAGAACGGGGTAATATGCGAGACATGAAGGAAAATCGAGACAAAGCGCACTTCTTTCGGTTTTTGTCGCGTTGCTCTCTAGCGGTTGTTCAGAAGACCACCGTGAATTTTTTTCGTGATCTAGGAGGCCGTGGCAGCTCACAGGAAACGCACGAAGGCTATCAGAGACTCGCCAGGATTACTTAGAACCAAAGGAAAAACCTCTTAATTTCAACAAGTTTTAAAAAGTTAGTAAAACCCTCCCCAGAAACCTCGGTTAGAAGTTGGGTTCTCGTCCAAACGAGCTTTAAATCTGTAGGCAATTATGTCAACATAATCAGGACAAAATTTGGTTCCGTTATGTCTACTCTCGGGCTGCCTGTTCCAGATGGAATACAATTTTGTTACCTTGCGGGGAATATAGAGACACCTCTTTTCGCTTGAAAGATGAGGCCGAACATACTCCACTGTTGATAATTTCAAAGAATA